ATAAAAGCGTTTGAAAGTAAAGCTTGAACGATCCACCTCAAAATTCATCCTTTCAAAGAGTCCTTCTAACTGCAAGATGAGAAAACGATGATGTGATTAAGAAACATAACCACGTAGAGAATGTTAAAATATTTATTAAGAAAGAAAAACAGATGAGATTAGTGCTACAAAATCCCTGCGAAGAAGAAACTGCAAAYCCCAATCTCATCAATCCCAAACCAGAAGGCTCGTAAATCCTCCACAGAAAACCAAACCTTAGTTTCATTGACAAAGATGAAAGAAAGGATAAACCTATTGCGGATGATTCTTTTCCAGAAATAAATTGTTTATGAATAGATAGACAAATTAAACTATAGAGATAAAGAAAAGAGTAAATTAAATCTTGAGATAGCAAATTAAAAAACATAGAGAAAAGACAACATATCCGAACATAGATTGGGCCATAAGTCTGCAAATTAAACATGAATGGAACACAAGAATGTGAGAGCATGGGAAAGACATCTTGATGAACTGATCCTATTAGTTTAACCAAAAACACCACKTAAAAGTTCTCAATGAGGTAAAAGAAATGCGAGTACGATATTACATACCGTTTCGTTTTCATCAATTTAGTACAATGGAACAACAAGAAATTTGAAGTTAGTAGGCACAACAAACTGTTAATTTATCCGCAGTTTCGAAAAGAAAAACTTTGTGTATTCGTGAACAAAATATGAGGATAGAGCAAAGCTTTAAGTATAAGCGTGAATCTACAAAAGTCTCGACTTTAACTACCATGGAAGTGGAACCAATTAACCTTTGGGTGAATTGGATTGGATGGCAAAAAAAAGATACATCGTCTAAAAATTGGGTCTCCACCACATCCAAATGCATTCTCCAAAATATAAGATTTTTGTAATTAGAGAGACCATTCTAAAGCCAGTAACAATCACAACAAACAATTAAGAATTTCATTCTTACCTCTAATCCTGAACAATAAGATTTTCATTAATCGAAAGCTCTAAGAACTAAGAAAGAAAAATTACGCATAGAGAAGTAATGAAACAGTAAAGTAAACCTGTTTTTTCAGGCCTTAAACGACCACATATTTTATGACATCGAAATCGATCAACTAAAAAAAATTACCTAAGAGATGATGAGATCTGTAAATTTGCTGTGAGAAGACGAAGGAATAAATCACGGTGAACATGCTGCAAGAAGACGAAAGAAGAAATATGTTAGGATCGATGAAAAATTAATAAACAAAAAAGAGATAATTGTGACTAAACCCTAAAGCTCACATATATATATATATACACGAAATTGTATAATTGACATATAGGGTTTCATATGAAATATGGGTTATAATAAATAAAAATTAGCCCAAACCCATTAAAATGTTTATCAAACATTTACATATATACAATAAAATAAAATAATGATGAATCTATATGGGCCTAACGAAAATCCAAACCAAATAATTAGGATCCAATCAATTAATATAGAACAACGATTAAAAGTATTTTAATAAGAAAACTGTGATGGTATGAATATGTAATTATATCGATTCATTAAGGGTAATATAGGCAAACCAAATCTTAAACTCACTCTGGAGTTGCCACGTAGAATTTTTGACTTCCCATTTACATTTATAAGTATAGATCTAAAAAAGATTTTGGTCTTTTTCCATATTTTATGTGTTTTGTATGTTTTACCGAACTATATGACTTCGTATATATATTAGCACAACTATAATTTTTTTATAATTTGTAATTGATTATATATACACAAACCCCTAAATTTTTCATCCATCTAAACTGACGAATTCAAATTCAAAAGTAGGCGAAGATTTTTTACTAATGAATCGATATTCAAAATCATTCCATTCCGGATCTAAATTTAGAAATTTAGAAAGGGTTATAAATACATTATATTTTTCTTTTTTGGTTTTGACCTTTTATGTTTTTTTCTTTAATTTATAGATTTAGATATTATCATGCAATGTATGTTAGTAACAATTTTCTAAATAAGACATCTCATCAATTTTTTATTTGGATATAAAAAAATTCTTAAACTTCTTAAAAACTAACCGGAAACTCTTTAAAGATACCTTTACATTGGAAAATTTCCAGCTAGTTTTTAAAGAGTTTTAAGGAA